CTCAGTAGCAGATGAGCAGCCAGAGGAGCTGATGCAATAGGGGAGTTGTATGCTCCCTGTATGCTGCCCCAGTGATCACCCTGGCTGCCACCCATTGAACCATTTGGAGCTTCCGAACAGTCTTCAAAGGCAACCCCACACAGAGCGCATTGCAGTAGTTTACTCGGGATGTAACATATATGTATGTTGTAGAAATATGTATTAATGTATGTATTTCATATAATGTTTATGATTATATGTTTTTAGCTTTGTTATAACCCACCTCGAGCCACAAGGAGAGGCAGACAACAAATACTATTATTATTATTATTATTATTATTATTATTATTATTATTTGACTTAAAACATCAGTTGAGCATTTAGAAACATTGGTTGGACAAAGCAGGGAATCCAAACACAGTATATATAAAGGCTATATTTGTGTATCATGATTAGTGCATCAATCCCTGCAATGCTGGAAATTTCAGGAATGCAGGAATAATTGACCGGGGGACAGAATTCTTATTTGTAGAGCAGTGTCTTAATTCTCCTTACCCATAATTTTCTTTTGCTCCAAGAAATACAGGGTAACATTTAAGGCTATACCTTATCCTTGTACCATGCCTACGAAGAGCCCTTTTATACTACAAATTCATACCACTTTAATGCCATTATAACTACTGTGGTTATATCCCGTGGAATCCTGGGATATGTAGTTTGGTAAACTGCTACAACTCTTTGGTTCCAAATACTGATCCCTAAACCACAAACCCCAGGATTTCATGGTCTGTTCATGTATAATCAAAATTGATATATTGATATATATTTTCTGTTTGTCGTGGGAGTTCTGTGTGCCATATTTGGTTCAATTCCATCATTGGTGGAGTTCAGAATGCTCTTTGATTGTAGGTGAACTATACATCCCAGTAACTACAACTTGCATATGTCAAGGTCTATTTTCTCCCAAGAGCGCCTCAAGAGCGCCCCTGGGCAAAATCAACTATACTGCAAATGCTTACTTTGCATAATGGGTTGAGCCGCCCCTGGGGAGAGGTCAAGCAGCACCCCTCCCCCCTCTCTCTGTCTCTCTCCCCCTCCCTTCCCCATAAGGGAAAGGGGGAGGGGCAGGTCAAGCACCCCTCCCCCTTCTCTGTCTCTCTCTCCTCCTCCCCCCCTTAAGGGAGGGGGAGGTCAAGCAGCCCCCCCTCTTTCTGTCTCTCTCCTCCTCCCCTCCCCATAAGGGAAAGGGGGAGGGGGAGGTCAAGCAGCATCCACTCCCTCTCCCTTTGTCTCTGTGTCTCTCTCCCCTCCCCTCCGAGGCACGCTCCCCTTTTGTCACCCCTTCCCTTCTCCTTTGATAGGCTGGCCTCGAGCGCCCAGTGTGTGGCGTGCAGGCATCCACTCGCCCGCCCACCCACCCACTCGTGCTCCACCTGCCTCGCGCTCCTCTCCTCTCCCCAATCCGCCTGCTTTGGGTCCGGAGATGTGCCTGAAGACCCCGGCGTGTGCACCAAAACTCACCTCTTCTCCTGACTTTCTCCTCAGCCATTGGGACCAAGAGAGAGAGAGAGAGAGAGGTGGAGATGCCCACCTTTCCTGAAGGTAGGCGCAAAAACAAAGGAGGGAGCGGAGGTGGGAGATACCTCCAGCCGGAGGGGCTCTCTCTCTCTCTCTCTCTTGGTCCCAATGGCTGAAGAGAAAGTCAGGAGAAGAGGCGACTTTTGGTGCGCACGCCGGGGTCTTCAGAAAAGGGAGCCGGTCATGGGGAAGGGATCGAACGCGGAGAACGATTGAGCGCAAGCTCTGCGCGCGCACCCAGAAACTAGGTGGAGCAGGAACGAGAGGGGCTAGGCGAGGCTCAAGGGCCCGGCCCCTTTGGGAAGAGGATCGCCTGGCAGCGAGGCAAGAAAGCTGAGGCTCCCCCCAGACTGCTAGGGCTGTTGTGAGCTGAGGGGGCGCTCCTCAAGTGGCAGTCGAGGGGCATTTATAGAGGCGCCTCTGCGCCCCTGGCAAGTTTTTCTTGTGGAGGAGGAAGTTCAAGAGGAAGTCCTCCAATATTATAGGGATTCTATATTTTTTGTCCTCTAACCAACTCTACTGTGCTTTTAGTTCAACAGTTCCTAGTCTACTACACTGTGAAATGCTTGAGTCCCCTTCAGGGTCAAGAAAGGCAGTATACAAATACCTCAAATAAATAAATAATAAATAATAGCCCCTATTTGTTTTGTGAGCTGAATCCCAATTTTCCAGTGCCACATTTTCTTTTTCCTTCCTGATTGACCATCTGGTTTCAGTTGCTACCTTGACACTGGCTGGCATCCAAATTGTGTCTCAGAGAAACAACTTTGCTCCTACGCTGTATAAATATCTGCCAAGGATGGTTAAGTCTAGAGTCTGCCTGTATGTCAACGCAGCAAGATTACCCTCGAGGAACATGAACCACCCCTGCCAATCCTTCCAGTTCTTTTTAAATCACAGAGAGATGCTGAGTTAACTGTCACTTGATTTTCAGTTCCATTTTTCTCATAGCAGGCATGTGAATTCATGTCCTACACTTTTTCACAACTGGTAAGATCACATCACTCTTTCAAATGCTGAGTGCCCTGCTGTGCTTTAACACCTTTCCCCAAGGGCTGCTGCTATGTCATTTAAGACAAGTGAGTTCTGAAGACCGATCTGGATCTACTAGTATATCTCTCAACAATTTACAACAGATTGTCAAAAACTCTTGACTCCTAACTCTAACAAGGACCAAATGACTTGTCATTCTTACTTGTTATGTGACTTCAAGTTGACTGCTGACAACTCAAAAGCTTATCAGAGGGCTTTGTAAGGGCCCTTCCAGACAGGCCCTATATCCCAGGATCTGATCCCAGGATTTCTGCTTTAAACAAGATGATATAGGTCCGCACTACCTGGGATCAGATTCTGAGATATAGCGCCTGTCTGGAAGGGCCCTAAGATTCATTAAAAGACAGTTTGCCATTGCTTTCTTCTAAAACTGAAAGTTTGTCTTCTTGGCCTTCCATGGCCAAGAAAGCATTCAAACCCTGGTCTCCTAGAGTCTCAATATTCAAACCACCATGTCATGTTGGCTAATGAATTAGCTAGGGACTAATTTGAAAAATATTTTTTAAAAAATTATGTTCCTGAGGTCTGAATAATAATGTGTGTAAAAAAGTATAAAGCAAGAAATGTTAATATGTTTAACCACATTGTGAGAATAGAAGGGGAAATGGTTATTCATGCTAATGAAAGCTAGTGGAGCTCTGCCTTTAGGCAGATAAGAGCTGAAGATATTATAAAAAAATGAGCTCTTGAGAGATGAACATTATGCAGTTTTGTAGTTTCCAATGCAAGCATTGCTGATTCTGAGTTTAGTGTCACCAACAATGCTGTTGCTGATAATGCTTTTTTCCTGATGGATAAATATCCAGAATTTTCAGGTAAGAGAGAATAAGAGAGAACTTTTGCACTCTAATAGGCTATAGTAATGATATAATTCTTATTTGGATATATAAGTGTTCAATGTGATTACAATAGATGCTGCAGTGGGTTGTAATGCCCACGGGAAGATTGTTTTCAATTGATTCCTTTTTGTATGTATGTATATGTGTACTATAAACATATTTTTGTCTGTAATATATTATTTATTTGTTTGATTATTATTTTATTTATTTGTGGCATTTCTATACTGCCCTTCTCAACCCTGAAGTGGACTCAGGGCAGTTCACAGTGTTGGCAACAATTCAATGCCATTGACAAACAACAGTATAAAACATCAAAATTGACCCTTTCCTGATGAAACATTAAGCATTATTAAATACAACATATAAAATCACATATCACACAGGGACATAGCCGTTATTTATTATTTGTTTGTGTGTATTACATACACACCCATACCAGCATCCATAACACATATATAAAGGACACCACCAACTGCAACAATACCCACAAATATTATCTGTGATGGATCCCTGTGTTTTTACACAAAGGACATATCCAGCTCCTTGCAACTTGAAACTAATGTATAATGCCTTTTAGTTACTGATATATGAACATAAAAGGATCTGATTACTTGCAGAAAAGGTTAGTATTTTATGAGTGTAGAAAAAGAGAGAGTTACTACCATGTTTATACACGAATTTTATAATAAAATAGCCTAAAAGATTATTAATCAGCCTGTTCATTCTCCCATATGAATAATCCTGGCAGCCAATACTTAAGAGTGCTCTATTGAAGTGTTGATGCTGCCTCTGAATCTTTGACTTTTATTGTTGATCATGAGTTGGGAGTTCAGGTAACCATACAGTAACAAGAGAAGCATACAAAAATGCAGATTGACAGACAAATGGAAAAGCAACCCCTGTCCCTCATGCGAAAGAACCAAAGGAGGAAAACCATTTCTATTTTATCCAATTCTGTTCAAAATTATACTACTGAAATAAAGAAAAATGTGAGTACTCAGAACTAGTAGAAGATATTTGTATGGTTATTTTGTTATAGTCTATATGCGCCCAATTTGTTTTAGACAGGGAGCTTTTTTTCGAGAAAAAAATGTGCATTTTTTCCTAAAATGCTCATTCATTGCAAGAGGTCTTTCAGAGCATATTTCTTAGCATGAGCACATATTCAAGTTCTTTGGCAGGTTGTTGACTCTAGTCACCTCCAAGTGACTAATAACACTAAACTTCAACTCCATGCTATGGGTTATTTTCGATGCTGGTGTGCTTTCAGGTAGAAGCCTCCCAGTGCTATGACCCAAAAAAAACTTAAGGCAACCAATCCATCTCCCTCAATCTGCCCTTAACAGATTTTCTGCAGGAAAAGAATTGGCAATACAATAGGAAAACATGGATGGGTCTGATGTTCAGAATGCCCCATCTTACCATACATCATATTGCACATCATTAGTGTAGCATGGTTGCACAACAAAAATCTATCTGGGCATACTCTTGTTGCATCCTAAGAGCCACACTCATGTTTTCAAATAAAATAAATAAGCAATCTTCACCTACCCAGACTTTCAACAGTGTTCTCTTCAGTATTATATGATGCTGGCTGTGACCTTTTAAAAATGGGAAAGAAAAATATGAAAATGCAAGAAAAAAGAAATTTGCAGTAGTTTAGTAGCATAGTAAGACAGTAATTTAGTCCTTATATTAGAACTGAGAAATTTGTGATCCTTTGTATGCACGTCATTTAAGTACTGCTTCCTTCATCAACAATGATAGGAGTCCAGCGACATCTGGAAGAGCACAGGTTCCCCAGCCTTGAATTGATGATAGATAGATAGATAGATAGATAGATAGATAGATAGATAGATAGATGGATGGATGGAATCATTCTAAGCACTTGCTAGATTGTATTTCCAGCAAGCTGTAAAACTGAGTCATTGAATCAATGCATGGATGGTAAATCAGCATTTTATGCAAATCCCATAGATTCAGTGGGCCTGCTGCACTTGGGTATCATCAATTGGCCTTAAGCCTTTGAAATATTGTTCAACAAAAACTATAAAATTAATTTATTCTATTGATCATTAACCTTTCGATTTAAAATAATACAATTACTAAAAGGGCCTAGAGTAGCCAAATCTCCCTCCAAATTAACTTTAAAATATAACCTGAAACTTCAATATTTACTCAACCAATTAACATGGTTGACATTTAACAATTAAAATTAAAATGTTGTTAAATTGTGCAAAAAAGTAAATGCATTAGCTATATCAAATTACCAGAAACAGTATATAGCCCAATTCCAGCTTCTACAAGCAAAAGCAAATGATGGCTAATATTGCTTGAGGTATCTCTGCCCCAGAGTGTGGTGGAGGCTTCTTCTTTGGAAGCTTTTAAACAGAGACTGGATGGCCATCTGTCAGGGGTGCTTTGAATGCAATATTCCTGCTTCTTGGCAGGGGGTTGGACTGGATGGCCCATGAGGTCTCTTCCAACTCTTTGATTCTATGATCTGCTTGGCCTCTGTGGGAAACAGGAGGCCAAGTATGATAGCTCAATGGTCTGATCCAGCAAGTTTTTTGATGTTCAGAGTTTTCTTAGAGAATTACAACTGTGCAATAAATATAGATCATGTTCTGCTGAAATTAGTATTTATAACTGCCTGGTGCCTCATGAGCTAACAAAGGCATACAATGGGTAAACCGTGTCCTCAAGATGTATTGGATTTACAATTGTCATCGTTTTCCAAGAGGATATTGTCCATCACATTTGGAAAATAGTAAATTATGGAAGGCTAGGGGTGGAAATTATCATATATTGCCCTCCAGATGTTGTTGGACAGAAACTCCTAGCATTCTTCATCTTCAGCTAGAGCTGATTAACATTGTAGTCCAATAAATCTGGAGGATTCCATACACACACCCAAAATAGAGAAGAAGCAGGAGAAGTTTACTTAATCAATGGGAAATCCTCTGTAGGAAAAGGAGCAGGTTCAAACTGTGATGAGCTTGGAAGAGGTTCCTGAAACTTCTGAGAGTTTTCTTCATGAGCCCTTGCTGACGTGGGAATGGGTGGGATCAAAGCAGCACCTAAAGATCTTCTCAGATTCTCATTATGACCATGTAAGACCTAGAAGAAGCATGGTAGAAATAATTAATTCTGAATGGTATTTATTGTTATGTTTATATTGCACCCCTTTCCAGGGAGTTGTATGTGTATGAACAGTCCAAAGTCAGATAGGACATTGGAACAGATGTCCCTTGAGATACCTTCTATGACACCATGACTCTGTGATTCTTTGCTCTGGTTCCAGCATGCATGTATGAATTGTGTATGGGGCAATAAGTAAACTGAAATACAGGAGATCATAAGGCCCAGCTGACCACAGTAAAGAAAGGGGAATCAGCTTGTATTGCAGTAACTTTGCATACAAGGGAAGATGGAAGACAGAACACAGAAAGAGAGAATACAGAATATACAGATTCTCAGCTGTAGTATTCAACTCTCTCACAGATATTGTTTGAATAAACTGTTTACCTAGGAACTGACCAGAATCCTATAGATCTCTTGTGCAACTTATTCCATCCAACCGGTAGAACTGTCCTGCCTCTGGCTTTCAAAATGCTTCCTCTTGTTACAGCCCCATCTACACTGCTATATAACTCAGTTTGAACTCCATTATATGATGAATGAGGACTCATATTATGCAGATTAAACTACAATGAACTGGATTATATGAGTCTACACTACCATAAAATCCAGTTCAATCTGCATTATAATGGCAGTGTAGATGGGACCTAAGTGATCAAGAGAAAGACTTTGCTGCCAGGTGTGTAACATGACACAATTTCCCCCCTAAGCCCGTTTTAGACTTCAACTGTGGCAGAGGGTTCAGCACATGATTTCACCTTGCAAAGATTTCACTTAAACACAACAAGAAGCTTTTGGGTCACTAGATGTTTGGGATTTCAATTCCAGAATGAGGGTAAGAATTGTAGTCCAAAGCAACTGAAGGGTCAACATGTCCTGCCAGCAACATCAGGTTTGCTCAGAATACAAAAATAAGATTCAGAGTAATCCACGTTGTCTTGTTGGTGCAGCATTGTGTTCTCAGTCATGGCTATCATCTCCCTGTGCCATGTTAGTGCACAAATGAATGTGTGACATGGCCAGTCAAACCATTCAGACAGGTCACAAGGTCCTGAATCCTACAAACAGAATTGCTGTAATAACAATCATCATCATCATCATCATCATCATCATCATCATTTATATCTCACCACCATCTCCCCAAAGGGACTTGGGGCAGCTCACAAGGCACTCCATGTGGAGCATATAACATGAACGGTACATGAGTATAAAACAATATCACATAAAAATTATAAAAACAACAACTATCAACACATAAAATACAATAAAATAATATAATTTAAAAATGCAGACCATCTGTAGTTAAAACTATCTGCCATCAATTCACAACCAAAGTGCCAGATTGTCAACCTAATATGGGCCCATTTCAGCCTACTTGAGGCCAAAAGCCTACTTAAAAATCCAGACTGGATTGGAAAGTTTCAAGGATGGGGGCTAACCTAATCTCTTTTGGGAGGGTTTTCCAGAGCCAGGCAACCATCACAGAGAAGGCTCTCTCTCTTGTCCCCACCAACCGCACTTGAGACGGTGGTGGGACCGAGAGGAGGGCCTCCCCTGCCGATCTCAAAGCCCATGCTGGTTCATAGAAACACAAGATGCTCTCCTACATCCAGAAACTTGCTTTTGGAGTCCTGTAGCCTAAAGGCACCAGATTCTGTCTGACCTTGGAAGCTGAACAGAGTCAGTTCTGGTTAGTACTTAAACAAGAGACTTCAAGCAAATACCCTGGCTATAGGTAGTATTTTGGAAGAAGAAACTGGCAAAATCATCTGAGCATTCTGAGAAAACCCTATGGAATTCATGGAGTTGTCACAAATTGACAAGAGCCTTGAAGGCAGAAACACATACAGAAGAAGGAGAATGAGCCAGAATAGTAGAGTGGAAACAGAAAAGTAGGGAAGGGAAAAAGAGAACGAAACTAACCTTTCATTTCCTCTCACCTTTTAAAAATCAAATAAGATACTCGAATACTAAGAGGTACAAATCACACAGTTCCTACCTTTCACCCTAGTTGAAATAAATGCTGTTGATGAAAATTCAACATATGAGTTTTAACAGGCTGAAACGAGGATGAAAACTTGAAAACTAGCATTTCCACGGATGCACTTAATTTCTTCATCTTGTTCACACTACCTGCAGTGCAAGAGCTCCCTCTACCTCTTTCCTCCTTCTTTGTCACTAGAATTTCAACACTCTCTTTCTTCCTTTTTTAATGTTACTGGAATAAATTTAGTTCACACTCTCTAGGATATATCTATTATCCTTGCCAGACAGCCTTGAGCTCTGGCCAATTTTGCAACTCCTTCGACCTTCCATCAAAATCTGCTTCTGAGAAGTCTATTAATTTTTTGCATTAGTGCTCCTCCTGCTGGCCTTCATCAGCTTCTCAGCCTAGATGATAAGGTGTGATGATCACCATCCGGTCCCCTCCAAATGTCACTTAATAATGTGTCATATCCAAGTTACAAGTTATTAACTCTGGAGGAGCTTCATATCTCATTGACTGTGCTATATACATGGGCCATGCAGTAAAAAATGCACACATGATCTTGTTAAGAGACAATTCTGCACAGGGAAGAAATTTCTAAAGCAACATTTCTCACACAATCAATGGGTCAGTAAAATTAGTCTGGGATACTATGGATGCAGGCTGATGTCATTCCACCTTTCAGTGACACTGTTCAGTAAGTTCCTATTAAGCAAGCAGCTCCAGGTAGGAATCAAAGCAGGGACTTATTTCTTCACCTTGAATCAAATATAGCACAGAACACAAGTGGATGAGCCTGATTTTCTCCCCAAATACAATGAAAAGGTTGACAAATCATCTGATTATATTTCATAGTACATATTCAGGCATACAAAAGTTAATGCCTCTGACAAAGCTTCATTTTACAAAATCTTTTTTATGCCTGCCCAGCCTTCCCTTCTTTCTCGTTTTCTGTCTAGCTAGTAGAGTTCTGTGCAGAATTCGTTTCTCCTGTTCCCTTCAGTTTTTTGTGTCTTTCATTTCTTTGGGAGCACAGATTGTAATTGTGTTTCTGATGCTGTTGTTGATTTAAAATTTGTTTTCATTTTATTTTATTGTGTATGTTTTACTTTGTACTTTTGGGCTTGTCTCCTTGTAACCTGCCCTGAACCCCTTCAGGGAGATGGTGGTGGGGTATAAAAATAAAGTTGTTATTATTATTATTATTATTATTATTATTATTATTATTATTATTATTATTATTATTACAGGAAGGCCCCTACCACTTCGAAAATCAGCCTGACACAAAAGCAAGCAGGAGTGGGTCCCGTGCCTGCCAGGGCCTGCAGCCGAGCACCTCTTTCTCTAGACTAAGAGGCACTTGGCTACAGGCCCTGGTGGGTGTGGGTGCTCCTGCACACCACACACACATTCTCCTTGGAAATAGAGTGTATGTGTGGCATGCAGGCCCAGAGCACCCGCACCTGTGAGGGCCTGCATCCAAGCGTCTCGTGGCACTCGGCTGTAGGCCCTGACAGGTATGGGTGCTCCTGCACGCCACACACACTCTGCTTGGAAAGAGAGTGTGAGCGCGTGTGTGACATGCAGGCCCAGAGTGTGTGCACCTGCCAGTGCCTATAGCTGAGCTCCTCCTCTAGGATAGAAACAGCAGGTAATAACAAGCCTCCTTAAAGAGTACACCGGGAAGGGGAGCCTGGGTGAGAAGCCCCCCTCCCCATAATGGGTCAATAGAAAATTGATCTTTTGGCACCAGAGAGTGAAAACAAATATCTGCCCTCCCAATTTTGGAAGCCTCCCAAAAATGGATCAGGGTCCCCACCAAAAGCTGGAACATGTAACAGGTTCAGGGTTTACCCCCAAATGCGCAACCCTACTAGCCAGAGGTTTTTAGTGGCATCAGCACTGGGAGAATGGTGAAGACAGCTGGAGAAATACAGGCTATTGGCCTCAAGTTGTAGCAGCGTGTGTGCAGTAAACAATGCAATGAATACAGATTGAACTGGGAAAGAATAGGATTCTACCCTTGTTGATCTTATTGTAGTTATGTGCTCCTGTTTACAATAGACATGATAAATTGCAGTGGTCTCCAGAATCCCTTACTGAGCATGAATGAATAGCAAAACAGAAAGAAAAAGAAAAACTGATAAGCCTGACTTGCCAGCCACTCCAGGGTATTTTTTATATTTGGTCACTAGAATGAAAATCATAAAAATCGGGGGGGGGGGGGGGGGGATCCTTGGATGCATTTTGAAAGGTATTTCCAAGTGCTATCTAAAAGGTACAAAATATTTTAATTACTTATGGAAAGTTTGTTTAACTTCATTTCACATATGCATCTTGTTAATTTTTGATTAAAAGTTTACTGAAATATGTAGATCTACTCTTCTTCTTTCTTTTTTTGTTTTTGTGATGTATGGAATCCATTCTTTCCATGGTATTCCACCAGATTCAGTGAGGCTTACTATTGAGTACATGCACATGAAACTGTAGCCAAAGTAATGCAGAAAATATTACAGATATTGGAGGCTCTGTCCAAACATTGCAAAACAAATTGTGCACACGCATGCATGTATCAGCAGACTAAATCAAATGCAAGTTGATATAACTGGGCTTCATGGTAATCTTGTGGCACAGAAACATGGGTTTTGTGAACATAAGTGCGAATCCTTGAACATAAGTGTGAATCCTTCCAGAATGAACCTGTACATTTTTAGGCACAAATACCACTCTATGTGAGAATCTCTAATTGACTTCACCTGTTGGGTGGCTGCTTTGGTCTCTGGTGAGTGATTGTCTCCAATTTCTAAGCACTCTGTGGCATTCTTCAACCCTTTCTGCTCTGTTTCCTGGTCTCTGCTCGTCTCTGGGGAAGTGGGAATGCTCTGAATTGGAGGCATAGGCTTAGAAGTGATCAAGAGCCTTTGAGAGGCAGATCTGGAAATGGCTGGTTTCAGGTCAGGTCCTTTGGGACCAGCAGGGTCAAGGAAGCCTGCAATACAAGACATAGTGAATTTCACACTGGAGATCCTTGCAACTTAATTCTAAACATGTTCCAACCATACACAAAAAAGAATCCTTAGTCATTTTTTTTTTTGCTTTAGTTTTATTTGCTGTGAGCAACCTTAAGCCTAGGAAAAACATACTTAGAAAAGGCAACTACTTTCTTCCACTCTAGCAAGTTGCATACTTCATGCTCTTCCTGCAATGATCTTTACTGTCAGCCATGTTAATGATCCAAATCAAACTGTAATTGCAGTCTGCTAGAACTGAGTCTAAAGTGCAGGAGTAGAGCACATACCTTATCGCTGAAACAAGGCACAAATGGGCATGCTCCTATTATTTATTTAATTTAATTTATACATTTATTTATTAAAATATTTGCAGTACACCCTTCGTGTCTCTTGGTTTGGGTTCCAGGTCCCCTTACAAGCCATCAATAACTAGATCCATGGATGCTAATGTCCCATAAGTAATATTGCAGTAAAATGGTGTCCCTTATATTGAACAACAAGATCAAAGTTTGGGTTTTTTTGGCTTTTAGTGAGGGAATTTGCAAATGTTGAATCCATGGTTGCAGAATCTGTGGATACAGAATCCCTCTATCTAAAGATCTCAGAGTATGAACAATAATTTCAATGTGATAAGTGTAAAGCAACACAAACTTCAAGCTGGAATGACAATAAAGAACATTTTCAAAATATCTTTGAAGATAAACCAGAAAAGACATATGCTCATAGTAGGCCACCACAGTGAAATATAGTTCCCAGACTTGACCATGGTAGTCTGCTTTCTGGTTACATCCCATATAGACTACTGCAGTGCACTCTACGTGGGGTTGCCTTTGAAGACTGTTCAGAAGCTTCAAATGGTCCATCGGGCGGCAGCCAGATTGCTCACCAGAGCCACGTTCAGAGCATACAACTCCCCTGTTAGATCAGCTCCGCTGGCTGCCAGTTTGCTACTGAGCATAATTCAAAGTGCTGGCTTTAGCCTATAAAACCCTAAATAGTTCTGACCCAGCTTACCTGTCCGAATGTATCTCTCCCTCTGAACCATATAAGAGCTTAAGATCATCTGGGAAGGCCCTGCTCTCGGTCCCACATTCTCCACAGGCACAACTGGCAGGGACAAGAGACAGGGCCTTCTCAGAGGTGGCCCCTTGGCTGTGGAACTCCCTTCCTAGGGATATTAGATCAGCCCCCTCCCTCTTGACCTTCTGTAAAAAAGTGAAAACTTGGCTATTTGAAGAAACCTTTGAAATGTAGTGCAATAGACAAACGCAGAATTATATGAAATTGAATATTGGAACAGCTCAGATGAAGATTTTGGACAATGAGGCCAACAGTGAAGGTATTGGTTTTATATTTGGTTTTATAAGTTTTTTAAAGGTATTATTGTATGTACTTTTAAATTCTGGTTTAATTGTGGTTTTAAGTGTTATTGTTAAGGCATCAAATGACTGCCTGGTTGTAAGCCGCCTTGAGTCACCTTTGGGTTCAAGAAAGGTGGGATAGAAATATTGTAAATAAATAATAAAGCAGAAAGTCATTGGAGACTGCTTGACCTATTACATTTTTAAAGTGCATCTGCAAAAGATCACAGGCAGACTCTTCTTGGGACTTTATAGAAATGTAAATAAGATTATGCTATCTTAGTTGCTTTTTTCTTATTTTGTGCAATATTTTTTTGTTTTTGTTTTTTGCCAAGCAGCTTAATGCTTGCTACATGACAGACAGCTGCTGATCTACCCTTGATCCAACTGGCTATTAAATGGGCACAAGAATGCCCCAGGAGACCTTCCAGATGCCAGCACCCAGATGGCCATCTTTGCACTTCCATACTTCTACATTTTCCATTCTGCCAGCTTCAAATGGGACTTTGGGACATCAGTGTGTCTTTTAAAAATATATTTTATGATATGGAAGATAAGTATTTGTATCCATGGGCTTCATAGAGGATGATACAAAGCAGGATGTGATATCCTACTGTATATGAAAAACTGGAGTTGCATCTCAAAGTACTCAATATATGACTGCTTGGTTATAAAGTACAATGCATTTTAGCCCCTCTCTCCTTCTTCTCTTTCTCTCTCTGTATGTGTGTGTGTGTGTGTGTTCAGAGACAATTTGTAATCTGACTGCAGAAATTTCTGTAGCAGAAAATCCTTTTATTTTGCTGGATAAAAGGCTCCCCTGTAGGGGATCATAAAATATGTATATGGTACAAAATGCATTTGACTTTCTCTATAATAAAGGAACCATATATTGGACACTTTGAGACATGTCCCCAGGTTTTTCTTTACGTTTTTGTCTCTTTGGTTCTAATATATACCTGTATCAGCAAACAAGAATTTGTTATGATTGTACTGAGACATATGTAGTACAGTATTGATAAGTATACTTAATCATAGTATTGAGAAGTATTGGGAAGCAAGTCTGAACACTGGATCTGAAAATAGTCAGTGTCATCTGAGTGAGACATAGCCCTGAGTTGCATGCCTTGAAGGCAATACATTATAGCATCATCCATTAAGGGCCAAACTTGCATTACACAGCACATTTATTTGAGCCCTATTCTCTTAACTTCAACTGGTCTTCTTCAAATAAATGTAGTTTTCAGTCACTTTGGTTGATCATTCTTTGTAATAAGAGCAGAATTCAGCCATACTGCACTTTTTGGATTTAATATTGGAGCTTAATTGAGTGTTGAGAGCTTGAAATCCCATAGTTTTGTGCAATGACTGACCAATTACTTTTAAAGCATATATCACAATCTCACTTCCCTTGAAAAGTCAAGGAGCAGTTGCATCCCTTCCCATCACTACGCTACCAAATGCCACAAATGTTACATCAAGTGTAAGAGTTATGCACCCCCACCTGATGTTGTTGGATTGCAGTTCCCAGAATCCCTTACTATTATCTATCCTGATTGGGGCTGCTGGAATTTGCAGTACAACATCTGCAGAATTACAGGATTTCTAGCTCCACAAGAAAGGACAATATACTGCACTGGTGAAGTGCTCCTCCTCATTGCATTATGTCCAAAATCAAACTTTGTTGTTCCCTCATTACAAAAATGGGACATTGTCAGCAGTTATATTGTTTATGATTAGTTACTTTCAAGTTCTGTTTGCATTGAGTAAAGTTCATTCACTGTCTGTAAAATGAGGCTAGCAGCAGCTCATTCACAGGCCTCATCTACACTGTCATATAATGCAATTTCACAATACAGTTTGCATTAATCTGGATTATACGAGTCTACACAGTTCAATGCAGTCAAACTGCATTCTGAAACTGCATTATACAGCAGTGTGGATGGGGCCATAGGGAATGTTGTATGCTTGAAAGTCACTAAGGGTTTAAAGCTCTTTGTGTAAAGGACTAAATTGGTATAATCCCCACCTTTTTATGAAAATCAGTTAATCAGTACCGGTCATACCTTTATTTGATGCAAGTGTGCCCTCAGACATTCTCCTCTTCTTGAGTTTGTCTTTGATCTGAGTAGTCTCCACAGCCGCACTGCTTACTTCCTGGTCATTGGGATGCTGTCTTGGTTGAGTGCTGGATAGCTCAGAAAACTCATGTGTGACTGTGTTCTCCATATATTTTTTCTGGAAGCCATTCCTATTTTCCCACATCTCCACTGGGGAAATATCTGGAGGTTCCTCTTTGCCTCCCCACAAACATACTTGTTTCTTTAATACCGAATGAAGAGGTGCTGTGGGATGATTTAATGAATGGGGCTTAGTTAGCACTCTTCATTATTTCCTCCAAACAATGTCCTATCCTGTACTGGAGCCACATCTTTGTGAGAACTTGCTGGGATAATTCCACATGAGCCATCATGGCATCATAGTTTGGATTTCACACAACTCCTTAATCAACTTGGGAGACCCACTCATTGGCCTTGGCCAAGTCATACTCTCTCATTCTTGGAGAAACACAATTGTGATCCCTTTCTGAAGAAATCTTGTCAAGAAAACCTTAGCACATAATTGCTATAAGCCATATTCAACATTGGTTAAGTCAGAAGGAAGGATTCTTAGTCCAAACACACAGCAGAGAAAAAGAGAGAGAAATAAAGGATATTTGCTCTAAATTTTGTTAGAATCATAGAATTTTTTAGTTAAAGGGGTCCATGAGGATCATGTAATCCAACCCCTTGCCATGCAGGAATAAACAACTAATGCACTCTAGAAATGCTAACCAACCTTGGTGTGAAAGACCTTCAAATAACAATACCATAGATACTCGAGTATAAGCCGACCCGAATATATGCCAAGGCACCCAATTTTACCACAAAATACTGGAAAAACATATTGCCTTGAATATAACCGAAGGGTGGGAAATGCAGCAGCTACTGGTAAATTTAAAAATAAAAATAGATACCAATACAATTACATTAATTAAGGCATCAATAGGTTAAATATTTTTGAATATTTACATAAAACTGTAATTTAATATGACTGCCCAACTCTGATTAAATCATTATTCTAACCTTCTTCGATGTAAATGTGCTTACGTATCCTTCCAATAGTAATAAAGAGAGTAAAATAATAAATGTAATAAAAATAATAGAGTAAAATAAATAAATGTAATAAAATAATAAAAACAACAGAATAAAATAATAAATAACCTTGACTTGAGTATAAGTCAAGGGGGACTTTTTCAAAAAGGGCGGAAAAACTAAGCTTATACTCGAGTATATACAGTAATTCATTCTGATGTAGTCTGTTCTGCCAACAGTATAAACACTCTTATAGAAGGTATTCCTAATTTTTTTTGGGGTGGGGGTGTCTCTTTTCTTTGAATCCATTGCTTCATGTTAAACAAAGACAGAAAGTCACACGAAGGTGGGAATAAAATGTTGCAGATGATAATCAGATTTAAAAGAATCCCATGCAACTGACCGTCTCAACTGAATCTAACAGCATTTCCATACATACCATTGTGGTTTTGACATAACATTCAAACTTAAGTCTTGAGCAGTAATCGAAGCCAGTTTACATCATCCTCACCATCATCTGCAGTTGCCCATCCATTCCCACAGAACTGCAAATTGGCATCAATGCTCCCTCCTCTGAGTGATCGGTATCCAGGTTTCACTTTGGGGATGGTCCCACAAGGTATGGCAACAGGCCATCGGGACTTAGCTTTAAAATGAAAACATTCAGGATTTCTTTAATAAATGTTTTTTCCTACAGTTTTGTTTAAATTTCACAACTTTTTTCCAAATCTGGACAACCTCACCCTCCTATTCTGTATACTTGTTCAATAATAAGACGTTAATTTTTACAATCCCTGACCAACTCATTTACTAAAGTTGATGACAGCCGGAGTCAAAACACACCTGGTGTTTTTCTTCTACTCTTTTTGCCATTAGCAAGAGCTGTTGGATGAGCCAATCACTGAAGAGTTGATAAAACAAACTTTTTGTTACTGAAGTCACAAAAGACACATCACTGAACAGAACTGACTCTTTCCATATACAAAGGGAGAACACGCTAAAGAGGAACTTCTGAGCAATATCTTGTGACTCCTGTTTGAATCAATCCAAATAGATTTTATGTTTTATGTATCTACTGTCACCTGTGGCAGTATGTGGGGATTTCCATTGTATGCTGTAACAAATTAGGGCCACCACACTATAGCAGAGTCATTGGTTTGAAAGATTTATGGATGGTTACTGAGTGAAACAGGTGTGCTACTGCAAAGAAAAAAGAAAGCTCATACACCTTTCAGCCAAAGGAACCTAGAATCCCTTTCAGCTTATTATATACTTAGGTCTTCAGAGCATACGAGACATATCCATTCACCTAAAACCTTTTCTAGACTACTGTAAGCATCCCATTAAAAAAAAGTAGGGAAAGTACATCCACTCACAAGAGCCCATATTTTTGTGGGGAAGATCAGATCACGGATCTTTCTCCATGGTGGCCCCTCGGATGTGGAATTCCCTCCCAAAAGAGGTTAGATCTGCCCCTTCCCTCTTGACTTTTCACAAGACACTTAAGACTTGGCTGTGGGAGCAAGCTTTCACAGAATCAATGGTTTTTATTGGCTTAGATGAGATTGTATGGTCCCCTTTTTTGGACTGATTTGAAGCATGTTTTAAACTTGGTGAACTGTTTTTAAATATATATTTATTATCATTTTATGTAATGGTGTATTTTTTTGGTGTTTATATATTGTTGGAAGCTGCCCTGAGTCCCTCTTTGGAGGTCAAGAATAGGACAGGATACAAATGTTCTAAATAAAATTTGCTCCCAAAAGTGGTGGTAATTTTGCCACATTTTGGATCACCGTAGGCCATTTTAGGACTGGATATTCTTTCTTTTCCAAAAGTAAATAACCTAGAAGATGAGGAGGGTCACTTCCTCTTGGAAAAATGTCTTCTCTGGGCCTAAACTGGTCCAGAGAAGACCAAAAATATGGTGAAATCCTCAGGCATAAGGAGATATTTGGATTTTTTAAAGTGAGGTGCAATGGGGAATGCCCTCAAGAGGGAGCAATGACAACTGCTCATCTCACCATATTATCTACTATGCTATATATGTTTATTTATCCATATATCCTTTCATATACATATATTACATATGTCCCCAGAGACAAAATATCTTACTGTTTTCCAGATAATTAACAGACAGTTTCAGATATGAAGAAAGAGAGAGAAAGAGAACAAAAACATTACAAAAAATCTTTACCTGTGGTAAAATTGTCATGTGTTGCCATGCATGCATAAATACCCAGGATTTCATTAAAGGTAAGAAATCACTGGTTCTGTTTTGCTCAGTTCTTCCCACTGCTTTTCTCACTTCATTCCCGGAAGATCCAAAGGTCTGCAGAAGACATAATCACAAGCAAAATGACATATTATTTACAGCTCTTACATTTCCTGAAATAGTGAAATTCTTGAAGGATCAGTTACTTCATCATACATTTTCAAGTTTCTTTAGAGAAATAATCTCCATTTATATAGAGAAAGGAAAAACAGAAATGACATCTCATATGAAGTTGGCATATGTATTTATCTTGTGGTAAGCACGTGTATGAAAGTCAATGAGATGCATATGTTTTAGCTTCATGGTGATTGATGCCCGTTTGTCTACAAAGATGAATAAAATATATTTTGTACATTTTTCAAAACCTGTATTTTGTACAGGTTATAGTGACCCTATTAATAGTACACACATCACACCTATTGTGGTGAGATAGTCATAACCGTCCACACATTTGCTGCTGGCGAAATCATCTCAGTGTATGGTAGACCATAGCTTCAAACATTTGCATTTTTTCCAACCAATGATCATAGCCACATATACACTCTTAGGATCTCTTCACACAGGCTTATTTTCAGCTGCGGGGTTTTACAAGTTTGACCACGCCCGACGGCTCCCATCATACTTTGGAGAAGTACTTCTGCGGCAGCTCCATGGCTGAACTGGAAAAAAAAACAACCCTCTGCCGCTGCCAAAAATAAGCTGGCAGTGAAAGACGGGAGGCTTCCCATTTTTCCCTTGAAAATAATGGAAACAGTTGGCTTCTTTACACTTCCCCCCATATAATGAAGTGGGGGGGGGGGAGCCAGGACAGTGTGGAGTGTGGGGCAACAGGCCCCCATGCTTCCTAGGTGGGTGGTGCTGGGATCGCCATTGATTTGCAGCAATCCACAATTATTCCAATGGTGCATGTGACAAGGTCAACAGTCATACATTCAAATGTATGCATTTGTTGCTCGACAGAGGCATGCTAATACCTCCATAATGATATGAAGATATTCATACACAGGCACCTTCTTAAATTTTAAAAAAAATGTCGATCATTCCAGTGAACTTAAAATGGTAAATTCAGGCTGGAGGAAAAAACACTTCCTGGTGGGAATTATCAGGTTACTGTCTGACCCAGTCATCTCCCATCAATCTATTGCACCCAAAACTATTCTACCCATCTCCAATGAAATTCAATGCCAACTTGGAAGGTCTACCACACACCAAAAAATCTGAATTTTCTGGAAATATGTAAGGGACAAGGGAATAGTCAAAAATTGTGTGCAGTGGCTATGAGATAAGTACAATTTTTGTAGACAATCCCCTAGTTACAACACAAAACTGCATATGTGAGGTGTGGGGACTCACAATGCAATAAGTGGATATACGTATGGTGATCCAAAGGTCTCTCAGTCTGGGTAGGTACAGCAGAGGTATTATTATATACTGTATCATGTTGATTGTATGATATATGTCCAAATATAAATATAACCATGAATTCACAACAGTGTGTGGAAAGATATGTTGGATGAGGCTATGTCAAGCCCAGCATTTCCTTCCCATAAATGCCAACCAGATCCGCTCTCCTAATTGTGTTTCTCAGTAAAGATAATGGTGATAATATATAGCCATCCTGAGTAATAACCATTGATAGCCTTCTCCTTCATTGCCAGACAAGCCAGAATAGAAGGTCAACAAGCAGAGAGAGAAACGATTTCAAAGACATCATGTGGACCAAGCCAAACTGAGAAAGGGGCAGAAATGTCATTCCTCTGGGAATATGATCACCTTGAATATTTCCAAACTAGTGTGACCTGTTTAATGTTCTTATGGTTACATGCAGAATTTCAGTTGAATTTGCACATTGTAAGAGTTATAGTCGGTTTAGAAAACTAAGTTTCAATTTTACTGGGAGCATGAAATGAATCTGTAATTGAGGAAATGATGTTTCATTTAAGCACACCAATGTATTTTGCATTTTGGTGTAACCAGTTTCTAAATCATTTTTTTAATGCATTAAAACACATTTTAATTTCATTAGTATTGCACCACTACTTCAGCAATGAAAAATAGATGTTATAATAAAGTGGAATGGAAAAACAACAATAGAGTAGTGGAATGGCCTCAAGCAGAAACATTAGAAAAGCAGTTTATGTTAATCCTTTTTTTAAAAAAATCAATGTTTCATTTATTCTCAGGTTTCTTAATTTAAACAGCATGGCATGAATAATTTACTATTTAATAGATGGGGCAGGGTGCATATTGAACAATATTTTAAAAATATGGAGCTAATGGAATGCCAACTGAAAAGATAATAGTAAAAGTGTACGATATTATAGATGTGCAGTGATAGACTTATCCATTCACCACATCACTGAGAAAGGCTGGATAAGTCTACTTCTTGTCCTCTTCAATTTAGCATGTGTTCATTCATAAGTCCATTCTGTCCTGGCCCTGCATTTATCTGTGTGGTTCTTTTACAGTTTCATATTCAAAAATTCATATTTACATATATATTAAAATACTGTCAAAACATACTTCTTACAACACATGCATTCCTAAACATATTTGTATCCTACAATATGCATTTTAAATGCATCTTGTTACTATTTTGAGGTGAGAATTACTGCCTCGAAAAATTCAAAGTACAGAATCCAAAGGATAATCATGTTCTGAGCCACGTTAGTCTAGGAGGCACTGATGACACCCACTCTAATCAGAACCCAGAAAAATCAAATTCATCAAGTATCTCTATACACCACTGCACTCATATATACCTTGCCTTTGAAAAATGACATAAGAGTAAAAGTTAAATTCCCAGACTTAGAAGAAACATGATATTTCCATCAAATAAATACGTAATCAAAAAAGATTACTGCAGAGACTGTGACATGATTCCTTCAGCACAACAACAAAAGTCAGATTTCTAGGGCCAATTCTAAATGTTTGGCTGTCTGAAGCAAAGGACATGTTGATGCCCCCTTTCCATTCCATGACAATAGTTGACAAGAATGGGAAATGAATCCTTCTTCAATAAGGATGTACCAACATCTTCAACCCCATACCTATAAGCCAAAGACCAGCTGTATGGGTCACCCTAAACCTAACTCTCCCCATTCCATGTCAACAGCTGACAAGAATAGGAAATGAATCCTTCTTTAATAAGGATGTACCAGCATCTTCAACCCCCATACCTGTAAGCTGAAGACCAGCTGTATGGGTCACCTTAACCCTAACTCTTCCCATTCCATGTCAACAGTTGACAAGAATGGGAAGTGAATCCTTCTTATATGAGGATGCACCAGCATCTTCCACCCCATACATGTAAGCAGAAGACCAGCTATATGGGTCACATATTTCTTCCTCTAGTATTTTTCTTCCATCCTCCAGCATGTGACTTATGGTGACTCTAAGGTAAATCTATCGTGTGGTTTTCGGGGACTGTGTGTATGACTTCCATGACTGAGCAGGTCTCCAGAGCCATGGTCCACTCACAAAGGCTTCACTTTGGCTAAGAGTAGAGCTGGTCCTCTAAATTCTGTACAGTGTAATAGAAATGGAAGAAAAATGGGAAAGAGACCCCCACAATTTGATTATGACATTATGGACGTCCCAGTAAACCTCAAGGATGGGTACATGCCATGTCTATGGGCAGCTTGTCAGAAAGACATAGTTCTGCTGAAACTGCAACTTATGGTAAAGTTCACATTAATTTCTATGCCAGGCAAGCTCGGTTATGATGATAAACACCATTGACAATTCCACAGATGAGCGGTAGAAAAGAAGAGAGCCATTTCCACAATAAACCAATTGCGGCAAGGACCCTAAGCGATTGATTTGTGAGGGAAAGATTTGTGAGGAAAAATTGGATGCATCACGCTTGGTTAAACCATGACAAAAGAGTGTGAGCCTGGGATGGAACAACCAGACGTATTTATTCGTTCTTCCACTAAAAATGAAATATTGAGAATACCTCTATATATGCTTCAACATGAAATAAATGTGCAAGGATAAAATACCAACCAATTAACTGTAAATTTAGACAAGCTGACCATTTATTAATTTATTTGTCAATGTATCATGCGGCAGCCTGCCAGCCATTTCTCAAATATCTTCCCTATGCAGCAATATATTTACATTTTCCCTCTGTATTGTGCTATGCTACATGAATTCCTAAATTTAAATCACATAGAGGTGTAGGAGAGTTTCAAATGCTATGACAATTTGTATAGTTCATACTTTAAAAAAAACTCTTCCATCTTAAAAAAGGAAATGTGCAGTGTGGAAAAAACTCTCCCATGCTCCTTCTATTTATTCTTTTGGCCCTAAAAGGATGTTCACATGGGAAACATGGGGCATGGGATGTCTGCATGTCAATGTGGGGAAAATCTCTGACTCCATGAAACAATGAGAAATATTAAATTAATGGTGGCTAATTGAGGGAGCCCTAGCTGGCATATCCACTTCTGCCCCTCATTTTCATCTTAACAGCCACTCCACCTCATTTTTAATGGCTGACTATATTACACAGTAACTGTTCTGAGAATGGTTGGTTTGCAGGTGCCTTTTACATTACTGAATTAAAACACTTCCATCCCACTTCAACTGTCATGGAATCCTTGTTTTTGTTTGCGAATTCTAAATGTTCCTTCCTAATCTAGATATTCCAAGATTCCACAGAGTAGAACCAGGTCAAGTAATATGGAATAATAAAGCTATCATTGTATTATGTAAAAGGAATACTATGCCGATATTTAAAAAAAATAGATGATTGTAGCCTTTCCTAAAGTCTGATGTTGTGGTGACCCCTCAACCATAAAATTATTTCCGTTGCTACTTCAGAACTGTAATTTTGCTACTGTTATAAATTGTAATGTAAATATCTGATATGCAGGATGTATTTCCGTTCACTGGACCAAATTTGGCACAAATACTCGATACACCCAAATTTGAATACTGGTAGGGTTGGGGAAAACAGACCTTGACATTTGGGTGGTGCAGTTTCTGGGATTTATAGTTCACCTACAATCAAATAGCATTCTGAACCCCTGCCCAATCAAAGAGCATTCTCT